TGATGTATGGTGACTAACATAAAATAAAATTTTAAAAAATAGTTTTTAAACAATTTTAAATTTTAAAAATAATTTCAAAGACAACATAGGTTATGTGAAACTTTCCCAGAGTATAGTGAAAGGAGAAGCAAGATGTGTTTTTCTTTAGAACAAAAATCTGATTTCTCATGTGAACTCATTGCCCAATTTCCTTGAGTTGCCCCTAATTTTTTTATTAGTCCCTGGATTAAAAGTTCTAATGCTGTCTCATTACACAGTAGACAGTGCCACACTGGTGGTGTTTGTGCCAAGGACACAACAGGAAATGACCCTTCTCAGAAAGAGGGGATGTGAGAATGAGAATTCCAGTATGACATTGCCCAGGCTCACTGGGTCAGGGCAGAGTCTCCTTCACTGGGCATTCTACCCATGTGCCAGGAAATGAGCCTACTGACACAAAGATCACTGAACAAGATGCTCCAGCTCAGACTTTACTTCCCTAACTGCAAACTTCCTGTGCTCAAAGTTGCAGGAGAAGCTTCTGGGGATGATCACCACATTTCACTGTTTTGGTGATTTCAGAGCCATAACCAGATCTTCCTGGCTAGTTGCCTTAAGCATATTCATTTATCTAATGCTGTTCTGTTCCATAAATAGCAAAGCGGGGAGCCACTGGCTTCCAGTGAGTCAGCAAGCCTGCACTGCTCCAAAGAGAAAGGAAGGTAACCCCAAAGTACATGGCCTGCTGTCACAGAAGGAGAAAGGCTTCCATGGAAGGAGGGCCCACAGGGTGATGTTTTACTCTGGTAAAAGGTCACCTGGGTAAGAGTTTCCTGAAACATCTACAATGATTCATTCTCAGCCTGCGATGTTCCTGGTCAAGTTAGACAAGCAGACAAGAGAGGCCCGAAACAGCCACCGCCAGCAGAAGGGTTCAGAAAGAAGCTCCATCCATTGTCTATGCGAGTTGTCTTTAAGACAGACCAGACCCTGCTTTTTGAAGCTGACTTCTCTGTGTAGAGCTGGAGAATACTACCAGATCTGCTGCAAACACATCCCCCATGCACTCAACGTGGGAGCTGGCGGGGGGTGGTGGTGGTGGAGGCTTGTGGCCACCCTCCTGCAACTCCCTGCCCCCAGACCCTGCCATTACCACCAGCCAGCGCTGGTCCAGCTGGAACCCCACCTTCCCACCTGGCACTTCCACGGTGCACCTGGCCCCCCTCTGGTGACCAACCCCGGGTGCCCCCTCTCTTCAAAGCAGCATAGTTTAGGGTTTATCTGAACTCCTGCCTTCATGATGGAGTCAAAATAAGAGAGCACAGGTAGGTTTCCGTTAAACAAGCACAGTGGTGAAACTCTCTGCAAAACGACCAAGTGTTCATCCTCTGCCAGTCGTTCCTGGTGTTAAGTCAAATTTAACACCACTCTGCTGAGAGTGGGAAGCTTTAGATGACCCCTAGCAGTTTCTTTCATGACAACCTTGGCCTTTTGCTTCTCATTAAGCAATACTCACAGAGGCTTCCTTTTTCAGACAAATTCAGAATGCAAAAATGCTCACCAAGAGCATGCTCCTCGAATAAGGCTCCAAAGATGGAACTTATAGGTTGATGTGCACTTATCAAATAAGAAAATATATTGGGGCACCCAGGGGAATTGGCCCTTAGGGAAAATCCTAGATAGATATCTTCATTAATAAACATTGCATCTCCCCTCCCAAAGCATCCTCCATACCTTCCTTCTCTCAAGAGCTTCATGACTTATTTTTTCTTGATTAGCCAAACTCAAATGATTGAGACAATTAGCTTGTCTTTCCAACAGCCACCTCGCTGTGACACCTCTTGGGCACAGCTGTGCCTTCTGAGGCTGCTCCTCACCCCAAAGGTAGAACTCTTCATGCTTATGCTCCTATTATGGGTCAGGCACTGGACACAGCAGGTGATGAGCAGGATCTCCCTCCTGGAGCAGTGAGCCTTGCAGGGAAAATAAATCCCTTACCAGAGCAGTACAGTATAGAGTCAGAAGGGCTGGGCCGGGCGTCTAGGGGATGCTGGAGCACAGAGCAGCAAGCTCTGATGAGTGGATCATATGCCAGCAGGAACCAGGTTGGCCCAGAGTCTTCCTTGCCATCTTTAGCTAGGTCCCTCATAAAAGCTGGGGCTGCTCTAAGCAGAAGTCTCCTGGTGAGAATGGCCTTGTGGGGTGTTCTTTTTAGGAGAACCATACCATATCCACTTACAACCTGTACCAAAAGTATTTTGCGTCATGTCCTTCAAGCATCAGACCATCAGAAATCTCCTTAATTGCTGCTTTTCAGCTTTATCTCCTTTAAGCCACCCTTGGCAGAACAACTTGGGAATTTCAATATGCTGTACAGAGTCCTGAAAGGGCAAGACTAGAACCAGCAGGTCATGGGGACACACACCACAGACTGTAGAGACTGAGAATTAAGGAGAGGATCAGGACGGTTGGACAGATAATCCGTACAAAATCCTGAATATCTGAATTGATGTCTGAGAAGAAACTCACACAAGCAACTGAGAATGTAGCTTGTCACGAAGCTTACAAAGTGAAACACTACAACAGTATCTTCTAAAATGCTTTCTACCACCAGTCTTCCTCCCTGTCCAATCCTTTCTCCTTTACCCCGCTGCCACAGACTTGGCCATGTCACCGTCGTGTTTTCAGGTCTTCAGGTTTTGAAGCGCAGGGGCCTTATATGGACACGTGATTTGGGGCCTGCCCTGACGAGACTCTCTCACCTCTCAGGTCTCACCTCCTGCTTTGGTTCATGCCTCCAGCCTCTGATCAGGCTGCTTCTGTGCCTAAGTGTACTGCCATGCCACACCTGCTGCCCTCCAGTTGGTAAACACCTCTTGCACCTCCAAGATTTTGTCTTGGAGTATGACTGCCCAAGGCAGGCTTTTTCTACCCTCTCCCCATGCTGCCTCACCTCTCTGCAAAATCAACCTCTCCCTCCTTTTGCCCTAACATGGCCCATATATTGCCACTCACTTTCTCATCACAGCTCACTTCATTACACTTGAACACTGTATTGTTCATTGTTAGGGGCTAGGATTATGTCTTATTCAAAATTATCTGTGCCTGGCCCTCCAGACCTTTCTCACATCAAAGAGCACTTAGAAAATGATTAGAGTATTTTTGTGGTACAAGAGGCTGCTGGTAAAAGAGATCACTATCTTTAATAACCCATTCAAAACTTAAACACACCCGTGGAGAAGTTCTGCCAAAAAGACCCTCAGTTAGTGCTGGTTGAAAGAATGAATCAATCAGACTGTTTATAAGATTAGGAGAGATCTGCAATTAGGTAAAAACCTTAGAAATCAATGAAAGGGATGGTCATACATAAAAAACAGAATTACGACTCCAACATAAGGGTGAGCATGTAGATTTCTTACCTAGTCAAGGTCTCCTTGGCCAGAACAGCACTAGACTCCATTCCCAACGTGAACTTTGTCACTGCTTTTCTTCATGCACCTCGACTCTAATCAAGTCAACTGCTCACTACCCCCCCCACACCCCCCGCATGTTCTTTGCCTACCTGCCAACAGTCAGCCTCTGTTTGGGTTGGCCTCTCTCCAGCACAGACTCCTCTCCACCCATGTCATCCAGTGGGAGGACAGTTGCCCATCTCAAAGGTCGCCTGTAGGGTGACCTCCACTGGAGACTCCTCTGCTCCCACTGGGCAGGCATGCGTGCTCTCTCCTTCACAGCCCTGTTCTTGTGCCTGTCATCAGGCTCTTGTCCGATCAATTTCTTTTTATCCGGTATCCTTTCAGTGAAATGTAAGCTTCATGTGGTCAAAGACTGAGTCTCATTGTAGTTTCACCTCCTTCACCTGTAATAGATACACAATAAACGTATCTTACATTCATCTAGATCTCCCAAGTGGCTGTGGGAAAACTGGGCTCCCATTTAATAGGGAAGCAAGAGTGTCTGTTGTGTAGGGAAGGGCCTGCTGGGTGCCAGGAAAGATCCCTGATAGTAAACCACACTCAGAACCCTTATTTCAAGGATTCATAAATTAGATGATCTTATACTAAATAGAGCCAGACCCAAGGTCCCCAAATCCATTATTTAATGGAAACTTTGCATAGTAAGGTTGGCCTGTAGGCCTGGGCACTGAGCTAGACCAGAGGGAGACTCAGAGCAGCCCCAGGTGGGACTGCGCATCGTATAGGGGTCCCCATTTCCATATAACAGAAGCAGGTTCCTGGTACACTGCAGGGGTGGGGGAGAATAGCGGAACAGGGTGAGGTGTTAGAGGGAGAGACTGCTTATCCGAGCCCTATGGGGCATGCGTGGGGTCCAGCAGTAGGCAGCAGCGCCCCCTTCCTGTCCAGTCCCTGAAGGGCAGCGTGTGTGGAGGAGTCTGGTTCCAGATAACAAGTAAGTAAATGCTCATTTCCTGATAGCCCCTCACTCATCAAAGATCTACCTCCCTGAGCCATGGGCCACCACACCCCTAGGATATATCCTGGCAATCACACACATACTGCAATCAAGTCCCATGTTGACCTGATCTGAGGCTGTGATACCCCACCCTGATCACCGCCATCTTCCCATCAGTTACATTCAAACAGTGGTGCTTTGGTTGGAGAGAAACACACCCTTCAAGTGTTCTTTGTGTGTTTACTGGTAACCTTTATCTCCCTTGTCATGCTCAGCCAGGCCCTCAATCTTGTGGCGAATCCATGGAGCAAGCACCCCTCCCTGTGTCCTTGAAACAGTAGTAGTCCCTACGGCAACCCGGGGCTGCATCTCCTCCTAGGTTCAGAGAGGTCTCTTCAGGCTGAGAAGTTTGATCTACACCCCCCCAAGCTCTGCTACCTCCGTCTTTGCTTTCGAGTTTGGAGACTGAGATGCCTGGTAACGCTTTACGGCCACAACCCTGCTGGAAGTTTCGAGTTATCAGTCAGTGTGTTTCTGGATGTACTTAACATCCTCCTCCCCAGATGACCCCAGTCCTACACTAACGTGATGTGCCCTCCTCCCTACAGGCGCAAAGAGTGCACAAGAGGTTCCCGAAGGCCGGCAGAAGCCACCACTCGTCAGAGCAGAAACCTCCTCCCATGCCTTCCCCCAGCACCACCGCACCAAGCTGGATGCTTGGCAGCAGCCAGCAGCCCCTACTGGACAGCTCACATCTGGGGCCCGGCCAGACAGGCCAGCCAGCTGGGCACCAGCAGGAATCTGCCAGACGAGCCAGCAGCCCTCCCAGCTTCCCCTGGTCCTTCCAGAGAAGCAAGTCCTTGTTTTGTTTGCCCACAGGAGACCCCTCCCCGGGATCCTCAGCTCTACCACAGTGGTTTTCAAGCACAGATGCCCCAGGGCACAGGGCATCGGAGGGGAGGCACAGCCACCTCCTCTCCATCGATGACTTGGAGGGGGCCCAGGAGACCGACGTGGACACGGGCCTCCGGCTGTCCTCCTCGGACCTCTCTGTGGTCTCTGCCTATTCGGCACCCAGCAGGTTCTGCAGCACTGTGGAGACAACCCTCCCCCCTGAAAGATGTAGCAGCCACTGGTCAAAGCCCAAGGGTTTCAGAGAAGGACTGCTGCCCACTGGGAGTGGGGTGACCACAGAGACCGCCTGGGCTTCCCTCCCTTTCTTCACCAAAGGGCCTTCCAGCTCCTCAGCCACAGCTGCTGCTGCTCCCCCCACTCCTGGCACCTCCTCACTCACAGAGTCTTCCCCAGAGCCTCCCTGGGATGCTCCCAGCGCTAAGCAGACCGCGGGGAGAGACGCCCCGCCACCCCCAGTGCTGGCCAGACCTGTGGACAATGACACAGAGGAATTCTACATCTGAATACCCTCTACTCTGGCATTCCAGATACACAGGCTCAGGTCCTACTGCCCCTCTGGGGTCTGAACACCACCTGTGCGTGTTCTCAGCCCGCTCCCCCAGGTCTGTCGAGAATCTGTCTCATGGGTTCGTTAGCACATTTGCCACACCACCCATTCTTACCTGAGAGGTGGCATATTTTAGAGACTTGCTGGAAAAATACTCGCATTTTTATGCAAATAAATTCTTGAGCTTAAATTGTAAAATTTTTTTTGAATACCCAATTCCTTTTGAGATATGGTTTAGTGCACTTAATACGATTTAAATGCCTCATATAATTATTTGAAATGAAAAGAAAACCTAGTCAGCTGGAGCTGATTTGGCAATTTTTCATGCTGTGAAGGAAAAACAAAGCCAAAATGTTGAATGTGGGAAAGATACTAAGTGACCTGTATGAGAGATTAGTGCACAACAACGTGATGTACACAGCTTACTGGATTCTGCATACATATTTGCATTACCAGGCAACAGTGGCCCTAAGAATTTCCGGGTAGTGCTTATAATGAAAAAAGTCCACTTGATAAAACAGTAAACATGTATCAGACTACAGTAATGCCTCTCTGTGATGCCGTGCACATCTGAAAATCTGGATTTATGCAAAGGTAGCTAATATACTTTATAAGGATTCATCCTGAGTAACAGACTCTTGGTGGAATCAAAATATGATTTGAGTTCCAAAAACCAGATTTGCATCCACTTTTCAACAACACCTCACTGTAACAAGTGGAGTCTACAGAAGACCACTCCACTCCCGGGATTTATTTGGATCACTGAAGAACCGCTCATTGGAGTTACAGAATAATAGGATATTGGTCATAGGGGTAGCTAGTCTTAAGATTCTTCCATTTTATAAAAACCACCGTCTAAGGGCTATGTATATATGTATCGATATAAATGACAAGAGCCACACTTTATACTACTTTCTCCAGTAAACATGCATTGTCACACAACCTGATATTCCCGTTTTTAAATAATTTGTAAGCTTTGTAAGTGGCACTTCGATGGCACAGAGTAATAAATGCCCCCATCTTCTCCAAATGGGAAGCTTTATATGAAATGTTGTCCTGAACAAACACTGTTTCATTGCCAGGCTTCCACGAGTGCCTAGAAGCCTTAATTAAAGCTGGAGCTCTAGCCCAAACTTAACCTTTTCTGCCTGGTGTCTGCTTCTTCGGAAGCATGAATGAGATTTAAATAGCACCTCTCTCCCACTCAGTAGGGGTGTGTTTACAATTCCAACCTCAGCAGTGCCAAGCGCCGGCTCGGGGGGCAATGCAGAGCCGTGCCTGGCTACCCACCTACCTTTGGGAAAGAGGAGCATGGACTTACTGGCCTCGCCTTCCTGGTCTGGTGCTCCTTGCCTCCAGGACTCCGGGCCAGCCTTCCCGTCTCTGAAAGCGCCCACACCAGTCTGGACACAGCCTCAGGGTCCTTCCCCAAGCAGCCGTGGAGCACTTGCCGTCCCTGTAATGAGAACCTCAGATCCTGTCCCAAACAGCCAAATGATAATATTCTCCGTGTTAATAAAGACAGGGTCTCTTATAGTTCTAGGCCAGAAGGGAGAAAACGTTTTCTAGAAAAGCCTAGATAATAAATACAGTAGGTTTTGCCAGCCATCTGGTTTCCATTGGGGCTACTCCACTCTCATCAGAGCGTGGAAACAGCCAAGGAAGATGTGTACGTGAACGGGAGTGGCCGAGTTCCAATAAAACTTTATTTACAAGAATAGGCCTAACCCTTGTGCTAGACGGAGATGGATTTAAACCCTTGGGCACAGTCAGCAATAAAGAATCAAAGTCTGCAGCCCTCTGAGGGACCTCTTTCTGCAGAGATAGTTCCTAGAAAGCCACTAGCCATCCACCTCCTGTCCAGAAACGTGACTCATGGCTGCGGAGGATGAAAAACAACAGGTCAATGTTAGGAAGGAGAAAAATAACTCAGAGGTGTTGACGCAAGCTTGTGAGTAGCAAAGGTCAGGGAGGCATAAACAAGTGGACCACCTGTCAGGTGATGCCTCCTCCTGGCTTCACCCCATCCATGCCCTTAGTTTAGTTTAATATACTTGCATGCACCCCTAGGATTGCTTTGGAGCCCAACCCTGATGCTCTCCGGTCCCACCCCTTCTTAGTAATCCCCCCCCAGCACAGTCCAGTCTACCAAACTAAGGGACCCCATAGGATGTCAGTGACACCATTCAAAAGCAGGAAATGCAAGATGCCCCCATAACACGAGGGGAGAATGGAGGGAAACCCACCACAGACCACATTCAGGCACCCCCCTCCCGCCACTTCCCTCCCAGGCTGTGGTTGGCCGTGGCCGTGCCCTCTGTGCAGAAGAATGCCACAGACACATACTGACAAAAGCCTAGCTCCCACTTCTGGCCACGCACTAGCATTTTCCTCATCCAGGAAGGCTCCTGACACCCCCTGGGGGGAGCCTGACTCTTGGATTACTGCTGTTATAATAGAGGCTGGCATACTGTAAATGCTCAATAAATTTGTTCAATTAAAAAAACATGAGGCTGTCTCGAATTATTTCTCTCCTGGATTAGGCTCTGCGGTATAGGAAATCTAGATTTTTAGCCCTTTTTTTTTTTTTTTTTGTCATTTAATGGAACCCAGTCTCTTGTTTTCTTGACCTTATATCTCCCCCCAGCATTGCCCGGGATGGGGGGGGGGTGCTACTAAGTGTCCTGGTCTGTTTCACAACCCATCCCTCACTTGTCTCTTTTCTAAAAAGACTCCCCAAATTACTGCTCACGGTCCCACCATGGCACCTAAACACCACCTAGGATTCACTATAAAGACCAAATATTTCTTAGTTCCTAACTGAACTGCCAAGCCCTACAGAAATCATCTTGGGTCACCCATGGGGCTGGAGTGGTGAGCTCCCAAAGATACTTTTGTGATGGGAGAGCTGACATGTTGTACAAAATGGGTTATAGTACTGGGTGTTCCTTGAGCCCTGTGACCCAAGGACAAGGGAATAATCACATGGAAGTCAGTTGGACTGCACTGTCTCGTTGTTCCAGGTGAGACCAAACGTTTCCTTTCACTGGGAAGATCTCTGAATCCATAGCTGATCTCTTCAGCCCCATGTAAATCAGGAGAAATCTATCCTCCTGGGCTTTCTGAAGATGAATGAATTCTCCTATTCATCAGGTAAGAAACACCTAAGTAGACTCAATTTCCTGGAAGAGATTTTTAAGGGCAGATAAAACTGTGGAGAGCTTCTCCCTCCCAAACCCTCAGAATGGTATCAGTGAGCAGTTATGGTCAATGATCTCATGTCTGCATTTCAGGAGAACAGTGGGAATAGCTGAATAGTCCCCTTCTCCCCCCACCCCCCACCCACCACCACATTGCTCCGTGTTCCTGGTCTGAAATAAATGTCTCTTAGGATTTATAGAATTCTGTGGCTCTTTAATTCTCTGGAAATACACTTGATCAGATACAGCAGAGGTTTGAGAAAATAACATGAGAAATTGACATTACATTATAAAAATGGATTTGTGAGGGGTAAAGAACCTGAATTTAAAGATTTTTTTATATAATCACGCTCTTCCAACTTTTCCTGAAGGCTTTTCTCTAATCTTTGGGAACAGAAGTCTAAACACAAAATGTCTTTAAATCCCATAATTTGAATAACGGAAGCAAACATTAATGGTAATGTCAGCACACTTGGGTCTTTTTAACAACTTCTATTTTAGAGATGTGATAACTATTATCCAATTATGTGCCCAAAATTAGGATCAATATATCCATTTAAGACAAAAGTCACCAGAGTATTTGGTGAAGCTGAAAAGGCTCCTTCTCTGTGCCCCTACGACATGCTCCCTAAAGTCTTCATTTCTCATGAGGGTCCCACCTCCAATTGCCTACGATAGTATAGAAAAAATGTTTCCACGGATGGGGCACAGTCCCCCACCAGCCTGGTCCAGTTGAGAGTCATTGCAACCACCCCACCTGACACATTTGTCTTGTAAGTGCACGTCTGAAAGAAGCCAGCCAAGCTCCCTTGGGTCAGCCCTGCCTAATCTCTAGAACAAAACCCAGAGCCTTTTGGACAGGAGCAACTCCACATGTTTGTGGCACAGTCCAAAAAAGGGCCTAATGAACAGCAATGCTTTCAGGCCAAGTCACCTCACAAGCTGGCTATGGGAAAGCTTTGGTGCCACCTGGTGGCCGCCATATCCAGGAGGGTCAAGCAGCCACCCTTGCTCCACCCAGATGAACAAGAAGGAAAGCATTTCTCTTCCATTTATTACTCTGCATTTCATTATTTTATTTCTATGAGGTATTGGGACAACTGAAGTCACAAAGACAAGACAATGCAGATAGAAGTAGAAAATCAGGGCTAAGGAAAAAAAGAGTCCATAAATGTGCCAACCATAAAGAAAAACGTAACTGCTGTGGATGACTTTCCCAGGAGCCAAAGCAAAAAGGGAAACATGAATAGCTTAGTTCTCATGTGGGATTTGAAAATCTAGTGACATTGTCTTATCCTCATTTTAACTTGTTGTCTCAAGGTTATTCCTCAATGAAAAACAAGTTTTTCTTAGCACAGATTTCTAAAATCACTTTCTCAGAAGGGGATTTCCGTGAGGGATTTTGTCTCAAAAGTTACTAGGTTTGGTCCAAGTTGGTAGCTTTCTTGATTGAGGGATGGAATTTACAAAACCTAGAGGAGCAGACATGGCCACAGGCTTTAGCTGAGCCTCCCTAGACCTCTCCGGCCACACCGTGGGGAGAGGGAAACTTGGCCCTCAGCAGAAAGTCTAAAGGCTGGCTTCCTCCAGGCTCTTGAGACCCAATCTGTAGTTTGGCAAGTGGAGGGCAGGGGGTGAGGCCGACATCCTCCTGGGAAACCAGAGGCTCCTACCCACAGTTTCAGCCTGCATGCATAGAGTCTCCCCATCTACTGAGCCCCTCTGCAACCTCACCCTCGCCCGGTGGTTCCAAAGT